CTTTTAGAAACTGCTAGAATTGAGCCAGAAGTATTCTAGATCACTTTGGCAGGTTCAAACAGTCCATAACTGACGGGCATAGCTAGACACTAAAAGAAGAAGGTTGCAGAATATCCAGTACTTCTCTTCCATGGTCTCTAGTATGATATCCAGTATGTACACCATTCTTTTTAGCAAGTCCTGAAAGACTTTTGTTTTATCCACAGAAGCTTTGAGGGGGAATGATGGCTACCCTGGTGAGGAAGCTGATATGGTGACAGATATCTGATGCAGTGGATCAGAAGAGCAGTAATTGCCACAGTATTTCTCCTCATCCTGGGGCTCATCTAGTCTATAGGGAATGGTTGAAAGAAGATATGCAAATTCTGCAGAAATGTGCATATCTTCTTCCAACGGAGCTTTTGAAAGTGAAAGTAATTAAGACGCGGCTTTTTCGGCAACCCCCCCCCCCTGTCGAAAAGCTGCTTAAACCTCCTTTTTTGAGGAAAAGCGTCTTTTCAATGAAGAGGGCGGTTTGCCGAAAAAGCCGTAACTTAATTACTTTCACTTTTGAAAGCTCTGCTTTTGAAAGTGCGATCAGAAGAAGATATGCAAATTCCCACCAAATTTGCATATCTTCTTTAGACCGTTCCACATAATCTAGATACGCCTTCTGTTAAATGAGAATGAGATGAGGAGGAACTTAAGAAAGTAAGATCTCTGTAATTATTGTGGGGGAAGGAGGGGAGGAATCTGGCTTTGGATGCAGACAAAAATGGCAGATTTCATAGCACATGGTCATCCAGGAAAATCAGTATGACCATGATAAATTAGGGTAGTGAAGACAGGGACATATGGTTTAGTATCAGGTAGGGGTTACCCTATGGGTCTAGTATCTTTAATGGACTCCTCTCTAAAGTCTCAAGACTCACACAGAGCTACCCAAGACAATGAAAAGGCTCATTTTTGAGAGGAACTTCTGTGTTGTGTCTCCTCTTCTGAGGAGATAAAGAAATACACCTCTTCTAGCAGAGAGGCAGTTCTATCCATTTTCCTTTGTTCTGGCATCAGTGCTAGGAATCATTTAGAGATCACTTCTTGCAGGATTTTGATGAGAGGTGAGTCCTGAACTAGTTAGAATGAAAGGCCTCAGGCTGCTGTGGAGTGCTTTGGTGCCACTGAAGACACTTCTCAGACTGGTTTGGGTAAGAATTTGGTCAGAACCAAAGTAGCGGTGGGAGCTGATGCAGTTGTTCTCGGTATGGAGAAACTGCTGGAGCTTCCTCTGCTTAAGGCTTTGACCTCCGCACCTATTATTGCTACTGGATGCAGTGCAGTCCTTATGTGTGTAGAGACCATTGTGCCTGTTTGGTGCAGATTTACAAGAGTGAGAATTCTTACCACCCCTGTCCAATGTCATTTCTGAAATGCCTAATGAAGGGGGCTCATGAGAGATCTTCTGGGAACCTGGGCAGTGTCTTGATTCACCATGGAACTTGATGTTTGGGATGGACCCATTAGCTTGGTTTGATATTACTTGCATTGATTTTTCTAGCAGGAAAAGTCTCCATTTTTACTTCCTCAATTTCTGGGTCTTTTCAGAGAAGGACTTGCACATCCAGCCATGCTCTGGAGCATATCCTTCTCCCAGGCACAATAGGCATTAAGCATAGCCATTTTCACAGGTATTGCTTTATCATAAGAGGGGCATATTTTAAACCCCAATTTGGTTTAAAATTAATTTGATTGTGACCATTTTGAATTCTTGTGCAGGAAAGATCCTTCCACAAGGTGTTACATGTGGTAGAGGAAGGAGGGGTGAAGCCCCATGTACAGGAAAACCTATCAATATTCTAATTCACAGAGGTTTTCTTTTAATATATGTGAATGGACAAAAAAATCCTATAGAACTGCCAAGTTACTCAGAGGAAGGGACGCAGACACTATAGGGTTCTGTCTCATCTATGAGTTGAATAGAACTGAATGGAAGTTATAGCTGTTTCACCCCTTACGTTCTTGACTACAAGAGTAGTGAGTGGCCAGGCACAGGCACTGTCACAGGGACTCTACTATTCAAAATCATCCCATTTTGCATACATAAGGCACATGCACTTCAACAGTGGAAAATCATTTGAAGAATGTTCTAGCTTTCACTTAGTCCTAAGGGAGATTAAGAGATTTATATGTGGAAATTTGGCCTAACTGTTACAGTGCCCCTATTCTTTTGTGGCTGCAGACGTTGTTCGATGTAGTCTGGAGAACCTGTGCAAAATGGCAAAAAAGGCCATCGTTGACATCAAAAAGACTACTTTAACTATCACAGCATTACTCTTCAATCCATCCTAGGGCAAGTTTTGCTTCCATCTATTTGGCCTGAGCCTTTGATATCTGAAGAAGAAAGAGAAGATCAGTTCATATTGGCTCCTGGTCACTCCATGATGAAGCAAATATTCACAGTGCACCAGCTTATCAAGAAGGCATGAGAATTCAAGTGCTCCGTGCACATTCCATTGGTGGATATAATGGCCATGTTTGGATTTATTGACAGCAAATCACTTTAAGTGATCTTGAAACTCACATTGTCCCTGACAAACTCTGTAGAATGTTCTCTTATATATGATGACTTATCCTGATGACTGTTGCCTTCCCAGTCTCTGACTTCACGCAAGCTCATGGCCCAAATTTTGATCATGAACACAAATGTGTTATAACCAGAGGGAGGTAGCTCTAACTATTATTTACTGATACATATTTTATTATTATTATACTGTACAGACTACATAGTTACAGTTATTATTTTTCAGAACTTTTGTCTCTATTTGACTATTGATAGGTTAGAAAATACATTTCATGAATTATATTCATGAATTACAGAATGCATTCAAGATACACTGCAGTAAGGAGTAATTAGTCGCCTTTTTTATTGACATTTGAGGTTTAGTTAACCTTGCCTGTTTGGATGAATTCTTTTTTTATAAACATCCTTCACTTCTGATTCCTCTTATGTAGGCAAGGTTAACAAAAACTCAAATGGTAATAAAGAAGTTGACCTAGAATGTAAAAATAAAATCTATGTGACAACTTTTAATTAAAACACAACCAAAGCTCTGCTCCTCTTCTGAAAAGATAAACAACTGAGACAATGGGGCTGCACAGGGATTGTATCTACAATAAAAATACCAATTAGAAGCACTTATAAGACATTAGCAAGATGGCAGCAGAGTTCAGCTAATATAATTCATTTTTTTTGAGAACCCTAAAGAGTGTCCCTCTAATCAACTTCATATATAAAGCTACCATTATAAAGTCTGCACAAGGTTTCTGATACTATTTTGACTGACATTTAGCTATCAACCAGCTTTATGATGCAAATGATTTTTTCTGACTTATTAGTGGTTACTTGAAACAGATTTCATTGTCTCTGGTTTGAAGGTCAATAGTAAATTTTTCAGATCTTGTTTTGTAAAGCAAACTATTGCTCAGCCTTACTTTTAGGCAAAGCACACCATGTTCTACCACATATAGTAAATAATTATTTTTAATCTGGTCAATGTAAAAACACATTAATTCATCCATTCTAACCGAAAAGTATCCAAACATCTGACTAAGCAACTAGAAAGAAATGACAAATCATAAAACCTCTCCAGCAACCTTTCAAACCAAATAATTAAGACCAAAGTAAATAAAGGAGAAAATAATATTTTAGTTATTGAACTATCATCAAATCAGTCTTATATTACAGTAATGCAGTATTCAATGATAGCATAGTCACAAACTACCCAGTAGATTTCAGAAAAGTTATCTGAAATCAGTGAAAGAGTACAACAGACTCTTTACGTTTAGAATAAACAAAAGTATCCACATAAAAACATTCCTGATCCAGTACCAATGCTGTGTACCATGTCCATTTGGCAGCAGAGGACAATCCTGCTGGAAATAAAACACAGAGGATTGTCAAAGCCAAAGCTCTGACACGTGGAAGTGAAATTTTCTAAGCTGTCAACAACAGAGAAAGACTGGAACTGAAACCACTGAAGGGTGGAACTCTCTTATACAGCCTCAGGCAATGGAGTACATCATAACTCCTTCAAGCTATGAGAATTCCTCAATGAACACAACTTGAAATAAGGTATTCTTGCAGTGGGAATATACAGAGGCTCCCACAAAATATTTTTGTAATCATACTTAAAACTGTTTGTCAGCCACATAAAATTACTTAATATAAAAAGAATTCTGTGTGTGGAATGAGAATCAGAAAACATATTCAAGAATAGAAAAAATGAATAGAAAAATTTCTTTAGATGTCACGTTTGTTTGCAATTTTTCATGTATTATTTAATTTTAAACCATTTTGATTCTGCTATTATACTGAAAAAGTTATCACAAGGCTCATAGGTGGTGGAATAAAAATTATTAAATCAGCACATAGTCAATTTAATGTTTCTTTTTAGGTATAGGGAACTGCATCTGAAAGATTCCTTTGCTGTTTGATAGATTATTATGGTCACTTGAAATGAGCATAAACCTGCGACCCAGGTATTCTCATCCTGTCTCTAACACTGACTCTCTCTCTTGTGTCCTTAGGCAAGTCACTTAGTCCCAAAATTCCAAAACTGTAATTGAATGTTTGATATTTCAATTTGTGTGTATAACCTTATGCCTAGAGGTCTGAGTTTATCAAGTGCTGAGCACCCACAGTCCTCACTGACTTTAATTGGAGTTTGCAGGTGCTCACCTTCTCTGTACATCTGGTTCAAATGTTCTAAACTGGGCACATAAAATGTGTGTTGTCACTTTTGAAATTTTCACTTTAATCTCTCAATTTCAATTTCCTCATCTAAAAATGAAAATACTGCTACTAATGCAAGTTTGTTTTGAGTATTAATTAGCTGGTATTTATAAATGATTAAAAATTGTATTGGCTCTTATAGAATATATCTCTAATCTATAAAGGCATGAATGGCAATGAGCTTTATGCAGGAAACAGAAAAACTCTGGATTAAAAAAGGTTTTGTGCTTACCTGATGGAGAGATATGTCTCCAAGAAATGGAAGGCTCTGGTTTCCCAGTGGCCAAGCAAGCAAGTGTAACATTGCTTCCTTCATTCACAATAATGTCAGTTGAAATACGAGATATCTTCGGAGAAACTGAAATGGAACATGGAGAAACTTTTTTTAAAAAAATTGCATTACACTGAAAAAAAATACTAATTTCCTTTAGTTCTCAGATGATAGACATCTATCAGGAAATCCAAAGTGTGTGTGTGTGTTCAAATTTTTAGCTACGAAGGTTTCCATGACCTTTTGTAAACAATGTCCTGGTTCAGAATTGCTTAGATGTGCCCACAACTATTCCATCATTTAAACAAAGGTACAACCCATGGATCAGGATGCTCCATACTAAACACTAGTTCAACTGTAATCTGCTCTACTTTATGAAAATTTGGAATAACTCTGCGGTTCTTAATACACTGCCTATGTAGCAAAATTTGGATATGCTCATGTTAATCTATAATAGATATTAAATTAAAATACTGTTGTTCTCTGATTATGCAAAAATAGTACTTCCCTATTGATTCAATTTTCCACATGTGCGTTTTTAAAGTTATATCTCCTTACACTAGTGAGTAAAGTAAGTTTTTATGGCCTTTTTCCCCATTGGTCCTTCAGTACCAATACATTCAAGAGAGACATTGATCGCAGCAACTGGGACTGTGTTTACTCACTGAGAAGTTGCCCGAATGATTCAGCATCTACTATATACTGTGTGCCATTCTTTGCAAAAATTCAACTCTGCATGAGCTAGAGACTGTAAATGTTGAGAATCAGACAGAATGTGTGTCTGGCTATCAAAGACCATAATTTACCATGAAAGAGTTAATCAAATAATAATAAATTATTAGTATTATGATTATATATCTACAGATATAGGGTTTACCATTTCAAATTACAGTACAATTATGGACCATTTAATACTTAAAAAACCTTATGGGGAAAATAAGTAGAATTCCTGATGTAAGCAAGGCCTGAATGAATGCTTCCAGTACAGCCAGCTGGAATGAGAGAGAAACCCTGGGTGTATCTATGTAAATACAGTTTACTCCTACTTTGCTTAGATGTGTAAAATATTCAGCTGAGAGAGTGCTGTTTTGCCCATGGTAATCAATTTGATTGTTGTGGGGTCACAAATTGTTCTAACACTAAATGCAAAAATTGTGAAATATGATCACCAATGCTTGCAATTATTGTGGAAATGCAGAAAAGTCAGACTCTGTTTAACTTAGTTCAAAAGGAGAGAAAAAACATCAGAGTAAAGAAACTTGGATGGACATAGGCTCCACTGCCAGAGCCCTGGGAAGTTAAGTGGAGGGAGGGTAGGATTCTATATCAGCAGTCTAGATGCCCTCCAGGCATGAGGGCACTGGCTCAATCTGTTTCTCCCCACTGTTTCAAGGGTAGATCTAAAAAAGCTCCCTAAGGAATCTTTATCATTTTAAATTTACTCCAGTGTATGCTAACTTTTCTTGTGGCTGAACTGTGTGTTGGCCAAGAGCTGAAACCACTGAGAGCTGCGGTCATTGGGTTTTGCCCAGAATCAAATCCACCACAAGTGGATGGAAGCATTGAGTGGTTGTCTGGTGAGCCAGTGGGAGTAGCAGTAAGCAAGCAGTCAGTGCGGCAGCCAGTAGGAACAGCAGAGTGGTGGTGGCAGAGTTGTAAGTAACCAGCAGGTGGATGGTGAGTGACCAGCAGAGTGAATAAGATGCTTCTTTACTTCCTGCACTCAGGATGCAAGGAGAACTTTGAAATCTGGGTCTGCTCTAACCAAGGGCAGCATCAGTGAGTAGAGTGCAGAAAAGGGTTGGGCATGTGAAGGGGTCTTTTACTACTGGTTTTATTTATGGAGTCCGCTTGTGGTGTTTCCCCAAATTTATGCCAACTTATTTCCCTCTCTTTTATTAAAAGTTTTTTTCTATACTCAGCCTCTGTGCTTGCAAGTGGGGAAGCATTGCTTCTCAAAGGTGCTGAGGGGTGCAGCATGTATTTCCCAGGTTTTTGAGATGGGAGCTCGAGCCAGTTCTGTGTTGGATGGATGAAGAGGAATCTCTAGATTTTGATCTTGGCTGCTGCTAGATCTACCTGGCAGAAAGGTTACACTACAAAAGGTAATGTCTGAGTCCCCAGGTATCTGCCCTCTCTGCAGAGTTTAAAGTAAGGTAGTTCCATGCTAAAACAATAAAGGCAGCCATGAGAGTACCTATTCTGGGATCTTTAAGGATGGAAAGAGAGAAACAAAGGTCAGGGAAGCCATGTGACATAACTAGCGGAAGCTATGCTGTAAAACAGAGCCTGATCATTTTTCATAGCTGCTGCTAAGCATAGTGTGAACTGAACATGAAAGCCTGAACTACTCCACAAACAAGTGAGAAAGGAAATATGCAATAAATGCTGGTGTATATGCAATATTTGTTTGGATCCCAAGATCTGAAATCCAAATAACCTTGATTTATAGAAGCATGTTTATAAAGTAGTTGGGATACATCTATTGTATAAGCCTCAGTTAATACAAATGTAGGGTATGATTATCAAAAGTCAAATACTAACCAGCATTTTATTTTGATGTTTACAATTGCATCATTCAAAATTATCTTCACAATAGATACCAGGTAAGTTTGGTCAAAAAGATCTATACAATTACACAGAAGCAGAATCAATAAAAACAACACAGTCAAGCTTCTTTGCCACAAGAACCTGCGTATGGCTGCAAAAATGAACACAAATCAATTTTGCAGCATTGTACAGACTTTGAGAATGGAGTGAGTGGATGGAACATTTATTGAATCTGGCCTACAGACACCTTATACAGAATAACATCCTGGAAAAAAAATATGTTTCAGCACTTTTCAAAACTGCACTGCATAGGAAAAGCACTACTTCTGAGACTATACAACTTTAGAAATAAGATGGAAATTTAATAGACAATATTAGTTAAGAAAGACAAGAGGGTGAGGCAATATATTTGACTGGACATACTTCTGCTGTGAAAAAGGCAAGCTTCATAGAGCTCTTCTTCAGATCTGGGAAATGTTCTCGGACACCAGACATGTAGTGATGACGCTCAGGACACGAACCTGAAGAAGAGCTCTATGTATGCTCCCATACTTGTCTAAGTCACCAACAGCAGTTGGTGCAATAGAAAATATTACCTCACCCACCTTGTGACTCAAATATCTTGGGAGCAACATGGCTACAATAACTCTGCATCCATTTCTAATTAGTTATTTATTTCAGTACCTGGTTTTTTTCTGTGGGACTCAGCAAGTGAATCCAAGGTTCCAATTGTGCAATTCTTACTCTTGCTGCTTACCTCTGACAAGAAGCATGTTTAAGGATCATTGCTATGGTCATAAGGTTACACACATGTATACAAAGGTGGACTAAACCCTTCTCACCGGTGGCCTGCTTTGTTTATACTCTTCCACAAGGCGAGGGCTGTAGAGTGGGTCTCTGAGCCTAGGCTCTAGGTGTCCAACTTCTACAAAGTATTCTCAACGCTAGCCCCAGGTTTTGCCATGTGCTGCCCCCATATGTGTGTACAACATAGCACAGATTGAATCTCTCTGATCTGGGATTCTCTGGCCCGGCAACATCATGGCAGAGGGTGTAGAGCTGCCAGGGCAGGGAGTTTGGCAGCAGAGAGCTTGGTTAAATCTAATTTAAGTAGATTGAATGTATATTATTTGTGGTTGGTATTTTTTAGTTAGGGCCATGACACACATTATTTGTGGTATTAGAATGGGTTTATTCCTGGAGCCTCCCAAGGCATGCCACTGAGGGTATGTCTACACTACCGTGTTAATTCGAATTAACTTAATTCGAAATAGTTCATTCAAATTAAGCTAATTCGAATTAACACATTTACACACAAAACCTATTTCGAAATAGTGTTTTGCTATTTCGAAATAGTATGTCCATACTGAGTGGACCCTGAACCGAAGTTAAGGCTGGCCAGAACCAGTGCCGGCAGGGCATCAGGTTAGGACTTAGTTGTGGGCTGCTGCCTGAGGCTAACTGAGTTCTGTGCTTAATGGGACTCTACCCCCACCCCGGACAGACAGTTCTTAGGGTTCCCCACTTGCTGGTTTACCTCGATGAGGGACAGCAAAGCAGTCCTGTCTTGGAGTGCCCTGAGTGCCCGAACTCAGGACACCACAGCACTCGGTCACATGGAGCCAGAGCTGCCCCTGGGCACACCGGTGCATCTCGTGGGGTTGTTGTCATCAGCTCGGCTGCACTTGCTGCAGGCTGCCATCCGGTCCATCAGGGTGTTGTCAGGATTCAGGAGGCCCTAAGGGAGAGTGTCTACCCTGAGGAGCCCTCAGAGCCTCCCCGGTCCTCCCCACCGGGGGCTTGTGCCCCATTCCTCCCTCACATCCTTCCACTTACCCTTCCCTAGCCCCCCTTCCTGATGTCAAACAAAAGACACATATGTTACAAAATAGAAACTGGGTTTATTGAACAAAATAGGGGAAGGGGAAGATGAATCTCTGGGGAGACTGGGAAAAGGAGGTGAGAGAGGGGAAGAGAGAGGGTGGGAGAGGGGAGGGGGAAACCTGGGAGGAGGGAACTGGAAGGGGGAAGCAAGGGGAAGAAGGGGGAGGGGAAGCTTAGGGCCCAGGGTTGCCAGACCAACTTGATTTTCATGCAAACCTGCTCCTGGGTTCGCATGTGGCCTTTGGTGGCCAGGCTGGCAGCTATCCTGCCATAGACAGCTGCATTTCTCCATCTAGTACGGAGATCATGGACGTTGGGGGCATCCCCCCCAAACCTGAATAAAAGCCATGATCTCCACCCTGGTCCAGAAAGGCACCTGCCTTCTCCGGGCCCTGGCACGCTCCTGGTGGGGGGGCGGCCTGCCAGTGGCTTGCTGGCTCATGTTTTGGGGCAACTGGGTCAGGGGCCCCTGTGGCCACTGCTGGCTCTGGGCTTGCAGGCTTGGAGCTGGCACAGGCACTGTGGCCAGGGTCTACCCCTTTCATGGCTCCGGGGCTGGGGAGAGGAGAGTAAGTTTTCCTGGTTGTGCCCAGAGTGGCCATCAGGGCTCCCTGGGAAGGGCTAGAGGCCCCCTATTTTGAATTAAGTGTCTA